ACGATTATATTATAAAATTGTAATATAATATTCTTCCGAATTTAAAAATAAATTAATGTCCATAACTTTCAAAATTAAAAATAATTAAATAAATAACAACAATTTTGCAAAAAACATTAAAGAACATAAGAATATTATTCAATAAAATTTCAGGTTTCTTTGAATCTTCGATTTCCTAGAAATGTACTTTTAAATCGTTATTTTATTTGTTTAGTACTTGTACTTTTACTTTTACTCGTTACTTTTTAAAATAAGAACCTTTTACTTTTTACTCGTTACTTTTTTTAAAAATACTTGTACTTTTACTCGTTACTTTTTAAAAGTAACGTTGCCATGTATGGTAGTATATTAGCCACAGACAGAGGCGCATCTATAGAAAGAAGCGTCTATGGCAAATCTCTTAATGGCACCCTTCCAAAATATTAATATTCTCTTTCTTTTTTAATGCAATACAAAATGAAAGCATTGTTTGAAGTATTTAACTCTTTTAGCAATATTGCAAAAATATTACATTGCATTTTTTTAAAAACAGATTGTTAAATAAATAAATATTAAATATAGTAATAAAATTATCTCTTCTTAATTGTTATGCATTCACGTGTATTCGAAATCATCATTGGTTAGAAATAAAAAGACTGTTTTATTATATTTATAGAAAATTCTACTGTGTTTTTTCAATTGTCAATAAAAAATTCTAATAAGTTGTTTAATTAAGCATATTTTAAAGTTTCACAAATATAATTTGATAATAAAAATACGCACACACAACAAATGTAGCTCTGAGTTAAAGAAGAACTATAACATAACCGGATGATTACCCAACATTTTCAAAATTAAAGCTGAAGGAAATTGATTTTTCTTAAATAATCACGCTTTGCTAACATCAAAGCAATAAAATCATTGCGATATAATAAAATCATTAAAGATCACAGTGTAAAGAATTACGATTTGTTATGATAATTACAAATTAAATAGCTACAAACAAATGATATATTTCGGTTAGTTTATTTACTGTTCAATAAAAAATCCAATGCTCTTAACATAATTACATATATATATAAGTTTTACATAAACATTATATGAACAGGTAATAAGGAAAAATATACACATAATTACAAGCAAAACACTAGACTTAATAGCAACAATAATACTTTCTTTAATGAGAAATAAATTAGAGGAAGTTGACGTCTTAATTTAAGAATATCCAGAAATAATTAATTTGCTAACAGTAAACAGAAAAGGGAAAAAGTAAAGAAAAAGACCAGAATACATTCTGGTATATTAAAAAAAAAATTATGAAAAATTCCCTTTGCATCACAATGGAATAAATTAAAGATAAAGCAAAAAATTAAACAGATTTGAATTATAAATTTTTAGAGGTTCAGTGCGCAAAAAAATAAATAAACGGACCACCCTGATAACCTTTGATCTAATGATCAGATATTCACTTTCTTCTCATCTTAATGGTTCAAGGAGGTGACTTAAAATATAATAATTAATAGGTGCGGGGGCGGTATTTTAAGTTACGAAATTAGGTACTAAAACGTACTTTCTCTGAACTTTCTGTTTATACATGCCATTTTTTCGAATGATTTCGATTTCTGAACCCTAAAATATAGTGGGCAGTCGCTATCAGAAAAGTAATTCGAGAGCTTTTCAAGCAAATTTAAATTTTTTCCCCCGAACAATTATTATGGTCATTTATAATTGCGTAAATTGTTAAAATATAACTTTTAGTAAATATTTATTATTTTATTTAATAAGAGCCGTAACAAAATTTGAATTGTAAGGTAAACATCATTTTTTACATCATTTTAAAAGAAGGTAACCTAACATGGGAAAATACAATAATTCAGCAAAATTGATAAGACAGTTAATGAGAAATTAAGTTTTAAATTTTCAACTTTTTTAAAATTTGATTTCTCAGAAATCTGAACTCCATATTCAAACATGAATTTGAACCAACCTGCAGAACGAGTTTTTTTTAATAAAAAAAACTTTTTAAAACTAATCAAAATTAATTAGATTTAAAAGTTATTTCAAAAGAAAAAGAGGAATATAAATCATTGAAATATTTGAGGAGAAGATGGCTTTTTCCATCTTCATGAAAATACATTATAAGAATACGCATGCTTTATAACTAAACAGGTTCTAATTTTTCAAGACATTAGATGCTTATTGTTTTTTTTTTAATATTTTTAAAATAAAGAAAATTATTTAGGGGAAAATATAATATTGTGATTGTCACTTTATTGATAACTTTTTTTTCGAGTTACTAAACTGTTGCAACGGTTGGTTATAAACTACATATTATTGCCTTAATATTATTTTGTTACCATTTTACTTTTATAAGAAATAAATATTATATATAAATAGAGCACACTTTATGACATATTATAGCGTTAATATTATTTTGTTACCATTTTACTTTGATTATAAGAAATAAATATTATATATAAATAGAGCACACTTTATGACATATTATAGCGTTAATATTATTTTGTTACCATTTTACTTTGATTATAAGAAATAAATATTATATATAAATAGAGCACACTTTATGACATATTATAGCGTTAATATTATTTTGTTACCATTTTACTTTGATTATAAGAAATAAATATTATATATAAATAGAGCACACTTTATGACATATTATAGCGTTAATATTATTTTGTTACCATTTTACTTTGATTATAAGAAATAAATATTATATATAAATAGAGCACACTTTATGACATATTATAGCGTTAATATTATTTTGTTACCATTTTACTTTGATTATAAGAAATAAATATTATATATAAATAGAGCACACTTTATGACATATTATAGCGTTAATATTATTTTGTTACCATTTTACTTTGATTATAAGAAATAAATATTATATATAAATAGAGCACACTTTATGACATATTATAGCGTTAATATTATTTTGTTACCATTTTACTTTGATTATAAGAAATAAATATTATATATAAATAGAGCACACTTTATGACATATTATAGCGTTAATATTATTTTGTTACCATTTTACTTTGATTATAAGAAATAAATATTATATATAAATAGAGCACACTTTATGACATATTATAGCGTTAATATTATTTTGTTACCATTTTACTTTGATTATAAGAAATAAATATTATATATAAATAGAGCACACTTTATGACATATTATAGCGTTAATATTATTTTGTTACCATTTTACTTTGATTATAAGAAATAAATATTATATATAAATAGAGCACACTTTATGACATATTATAGCGTTAATATTATTTTGTTACCATTTTACTTTGATTATAAGAAATAAATATTATATATAAATAGAGCACACTTTATGACATATTATAGCGTTAATATTATTTTGTTACCATTTTACTTTGATTATAAGAAATAAATATTATATATAAATAGAGCACACTTTATGACATATTATAGCGTTAATATTATTTTGTTACCATTTTACTTTGATTATAAGAAATAAATATTATATATAAATAGAGCACACTTTATGACATATTATAGCGTTAATATTATTTTGTTACCATTTTACTTTGATTATAAGAAATAAATATTATATATAAATAGAGCACNTTTATATATATATATATATATATAAATGCTTTAGGGAAAAGAGGAGTTAAAGTAGGAGTAAATGAAAATGATTTTAAATATAATGAATAAAATGATTCAATAAAAAGATCATCGATAAAATGAGTACTAAGCATGCTTGGGGACTAAACACTGGGGGTTCCGCATTCGGCTGACCACCCAACCGGAACTTCTGCTCCTGCACTCCAGAGCCCAAGGTCAAGAAAACTGAGATGAGCACAGTAGGCCTTGGTCTTCTATGGGCTGTCGTGCCACTGAGTTAAGTTTTAGTAGAATAAGATGATTGCTGTGCTTCCTTTCCTTCTTTTTTCTTCTTCTTTTGATTAAGCTGGTTGTTAATGCACTTTGATTTCAAATGTGTTACCAAATGATAAATTGAATAAATTTCAATTATACATATTTTTATTTCTAATTATTTAATATTTTCAACACAAAAATCTTGGTTTTTGATTTGGGTTGAGTTTAATATCAAAATAATTCAAGAACATAATTGATTGATCATTTATAATTTTATATGTATGTTTATTTAGAAATACTTCTTAATTATAATGGCTAATAATCATCCTTAGACTAAAAGGGTTTTTGACATTTATCAAAAACTATGTCAAAAAGGGTTTTTTGACATGACTGATAAAACCACGGTTAAAACTGGAAAAAACTAGCAATTGTCAAAAACTTGCCAACCCTGATATATATATATACAAATATCTTTATATATGTACATATACATACATGTTTATATATGTATGACTACCACCACGCCTTATTTTGTAAAGAAAGTATATCAATTACTAGCATTCTAATGTTTTTATAGAACATCAAAGTGATGTCCTAAAAGAGGAAATTTCTAGTAGTATATTAACGTAAATTTACGTCCATTATTATAAATTGGTATGACAAACCTACCAACTGTTCTGGATTTCCCGGTAGATTTTATATTTAATATGGTTGTAAAACTTTCACTTTCATACTTGATTCCTAATTTGTTTCAATTTGAATTTAGCTACCACTCTATCAAAATAGACGCATAAAGAGCTTATTGTGTTTAAAGTGTTAGATAAAGCAAGTATTTGCTTACAATATCACAGTTATTTCACTACCACTGCTTTACTGATGATCCGTAAAGTTAATGTTTACAAATTATTCAGATACAACAAGCAAATTGAGAACACAATTTAAGAAAATGGCTTAGAAAATAACAGAAATGAATGGTAAACCAGGGTATCTTTTTTCGCAAAAAGATACCCTGGTTTACCATTTATTTAATAAGAACCATTTATTCAATAAGAATATATATTTTTTTTCAAAGGATTGACCGTAGTGTGTTCGGCCGTTCAACCTGAAACTCACCTCAAGCAATCGAAACCTGTTTCTGGAAAGATGGAGTGAAGTTCATTTATAGCAAGCTTCATCAGTAGAAGAAGACTGGAAGTGAAGGAGGATTGATCGGTTGATTTATCGGCATGTGCAGCATCGTTTGTTTCATTTTTTGTTGTGAGGTGTGCATCAAGGAAACATGAATATCACCGGAAGGAAGTACTTCCTTATCATCTTTATGATCCTGCAATATCAATGGATTATCACAACATCCGAATATGTTGAAGGTACTGTACTCCTTTAACGGTTTTTAATAGACTTATTTTTTTAATTGGTTAAAATCAATCGAAACTAATTACTTTAACAGAGATTTTAGAATAATTTGACAACAAACAAACATAAATTTTTTTTTAAAATAATTTTGATTTAATAAGCGAATGGAAGCAAATAATGATAAGACAATTTCTGTAACGTCCAAATAAATAATGATAAGACAATTTAAGCAACGTCTAAATAAATAATGATAAGACAATTTAAACAACGTCCAAATAAATAATGATAGGACAATTCAACCCTTTAGTGGGCCATTTATTTCTAGTAGAGGTAAATTAAAGAATTTTTGGAATTGAAATTCATATAAGAATAGTAATTGATATAAGAAATAAAAAACTCATTTAGCTTCAGGAAAATTAATTTAAATTTTAGTGCCATTTTTTTTCGGTGGTGGTAAGTATATTTACCACGACCTATTGGGAACTTATTGGCTTTTATTTTTCTTTATTCATGAAATAAATGTTATAAGTGCTACAAACTTTAGAATTATGCATTTTATAACTTTTATACGTTTTCTTATACAAAAAAAATGGTGGCTAATTTTATTCTAACGCTCTTCAAGAAAGCTGAAGTTATTAACAAATATAAACCTAAATTAAAAGTGGTAGAAAAGTTAACAAGGACTTTAAAAATTGGTGGTAAGTATACTTACCACGGTTTTCGAAAGGGTTAAACAACGTTCAAATAAATAATGATAAGACAATTAAAACAGCTTCCAAATTATCTGTGGTGGAAATTTAATTTCATTCATTTAATAGTTTTCAACATTTAAATTTCTTAATTTGTTACGATTAAGTGTAAATAACTATTCGAAAAGAATATTGAATAGAATTTGAGTAAATAATCTAATAAACAGATAAGAAAATATTCGATTCATCTGAAGGCAAGGATTTGATTGCATTCTTTTTTCGTAAACTTTTCAAATTCTTTACTATTAATCAAGACTTTAACAGAATAGAGAAGATGATTTAAAGCTAATCGAAGTAATTAGGCTAAATAAGCTAATTAAAACTTATCATCGATTTAAAGGTCACATTACCTAATAAATAACTCAAGTAGCGAAAAAAGTTTATTTCGCTTAATGATATGTTTGGTGTTACTCAAAACTTCTAACACTTAAAAGATACTTTTTGTTCGCTTAAACCAGTAGATTCCAATAAAAAAGCCATTTATTTTAAACTAAAAAGAAAGGAAAAAAAAAACAATTAACTCCCTTATCAGTTTCAGAACTGAATAAGATTCTTCTTTTACTGATTCCATGTTAGCTAAAATGTTTCATCCCAAAGAGAAGAAGAATTCTCCTATTGTTTTATTTTTAATGCAACCATTGATTAACCCATTCTCTGTCGAGATTGTGTAAATATTTTTCGTAAACAGCCTTTTAAAAAAAAAAGTGTTTGTATACATGTCACATATGTGACGCAAGAAAGTAAATAGTTTCCATTGTTAACATTCACCTTTAACTGTAAGATATAAAGATTATACAGGGTAGGGTTTCAGATTGATATAAAGATTATACAGAGACTGGAAACACTTCACTATGGAAACACTTCTATACTAGCACCTTTTTTTTCACATTCCTCAAAAAAATACGAAGAGAATTATTTTAAAACTTTAGAAGTGTTAAAGTCATGCGAATTCTCATACATATCAATAAAGTTTAAAGCTTTTAGAGATTTTAGGGATCAGCAACTAGTTATGAACGAAAAATAATGTTTCACATCCTATGCAAAAAAATACAGTAATAAGCTTATTACGTATATCATTTACTCTGGTTATCATGTTTCTAACCTCGAACTATCGTTGAACAGCCAACCCAATTTTGGGTTTACGACTACTTATGTTCATCTCCGTTGCCTTATAATTTTGAACCCAATCTAGAAGACAAGGGAACTTCTGGATCAAGTATTAGGAGAAATTCGCCTTCGCATGGTGGTCTTTTGATGGAACTAACCCGCATTTGCGAAACATGGAGAGGAAGACCACGAGAACCTCCCACGGTTAGCCTGACGGCAAGGGGACTCTAACCCATGATCCGTCTACCACTGAGGATATTTCGCGTCAGCACTGTGGTTGGCGCAAGCTGGATGTGGAATTCGTATTGACCAACCATCGCTGAGATTCGAACCCGGTTCACCGTTCACCTCATTGGAAGACTCATTCAAGCTAGGTTTCGGAAATTTTGTGCAGATATTGCATAATATTATTGCAGTTATTGCAGTTATAATATTAAGTAATTGATATAAGCTGCAACTTTATCGCTAGATTTTTTGGCTTAGGATGTTCAAAATTTTTTTTTTTACCCCCCCCCCCCCATTTTTTTTTCATAATTTATTACCGATCCTTCAAACTTCTGAAAGTTTTAAATTTTTTTGATATGTATGAGAAATCGCATAACCTTAACACTTCTAAAGTTTTAAAGCAATGATCTGAGTATTTCCTGAAAAATATGAAAAAAAATGATTTAGCATAGAAGTGTTTCCGATTTTAATTTTGAAAAAAAAAAAAAAATGCTAAGAATGATATAATTAAGATACCACCCTTTTTCGGAAAATATCTCAAAATAGAAATATTTGTACGTAATAGGGAAAGAAATTAAAAGCTGTTATATTATTTTTATAACATCAGCAACTTGGCGCTACTGTGACTTGGAATTATATGTGTTTTATTTGCCTCAACCAATCTCGAATTTCAAACCTTGTTACTTTTTGTATTTCAAATTGCGCGTGCATACACTACTGCAGTGTTTCCCAAACTTATAACTTTTGTGTACCCTTTCTAAATTTTTCGTAAAGCTGTGTACCACTAATAAAAAATGAATGTATTTTTTACTATAAAAAATTGCACAAAAGTTAAAAATCACAACTGGCTGTTGACACCACTAATTATTAATTTTTAACTTTGCAAAAAATAGCCAATAGAAAAATACGTAATCGTAAATTTTCATGGCTAGCTTTATTTTTAAATAAAAGTTTTTGAAATTTCCGTTTGTTGCAAAATATTTCGCATAAGAACGCGTACCCCCGCTAAACTGCTCCCGTACCCCTAGGGGTACGCGTACCACACTTTGGGAAACACTGCACTACTGGAAGAGATTACTTTCAGTTTTTGACATATTTTCAAATTCCTCAAGAAATACATAAAGGAATATTTTGGTACTTCAGAGATGATAAGTTCATGCGATTTTTCATATCTTGCAATAAGGTTTCAAGCTTTCAGAAGTTTGGGATTGATGATAAATTACGAAAAAAAATCGGTTTTCGTTGGTTTTCCTTCGAACGATTGGTTTTTTTTCGAAGTTTTTATTGCAAATTAACACTTTGGTTGTTTTTTTGCAATAACTACATTAAATTTCGTTAACTTCACTTAAATATTGATGGAAAAATGGAAATTTTTATTTTAAAAAAATATTACTTTTGTCTCATGTTTTCTTTTTTTATAACTTTAAAAGTTTTCAATAAAATTTAAAAAGAATTTTGGAACAATTTAAATCTAATTATAAAATTTTTTTTGTAAAAGTTTTTAAAAAAAGTATTAAAAAGTGCGCAAGATATAAGCATTTAAAGTAGTTCTTTTATACTGCGCATGCGGGAAAAAATGTATTAATTTTTTCCATAATTTTGAGGTGAATTGTATTTGACAACAGATTGAAAAAGTCTAAACATTTAACAAGTAAAATTTTGAAAAGTTTCAAACAATTTTCTAAGTAGTTTTTGTACATTTTAAAAGTAAGCACAAAACATTAAGGCGATTTCCGCACATTTCATTCTTTGTTATGAAACAAGATTTATTAAAAATAACATCGACAATGTAGGGGATCATCCCCCATAAAAGCATGTTTTCTTTCCTTATACCATCACATTGCGGTGCATGGACAATTATTGTAAGGTATTATCATTTGTTATTAAATTTTGTCTTATGATACAAAAGAAAATTTGCGGGAAATCCCTTATCATTTAGAGCCTTCTTTTAAAAACTACAAAAACTACGTAGTAAATTGCTTGAAACTTTTTTAATCTTTAAGATATTCAAATCAGACTTTTTTCATTAGCTACTAAAATGCGATTCACTACAAAAATACGAAAAGAATTTTTAAAATTTTTTATTCGCGCATGCACAGTATGGAAGATTTACTTAAAATACTCATATCTTGCACAATTTTTAACATTTTGTGTTAAATTTTGAAACAATAATTTTCTTATTAATTTTAAATTGCTCCACAAAATATTTTTAAAGTTATAGCAAAAAATGTAAGACAAAAATAATTGGTTTTTTTTTTTTTTTACAAAAATGTCCATATCTTCTTAGATATTTAAATGAAGTAAACTACATTTTATGCAGTTTTTAAAAATAACAACCAAAGGAATCGATACAAATTACAATTTTATTGCTTGATTTTCTGACACAGGGTGTTCTTCAAAAATACTTTTATACACTTAAAAATACTTATCTCTTGATCTAAAGGTTATAGAAACATGGTTCTAATTGAAGAAACTTTTCAAATTATCTTAGCTTTCATCGTATAATAGTTTTGGTTGCGTGACGTGTTTTGGTCACGCAAGTTAACTTTCTGTACGTTATTTTAATGAGTAAACATTAACTAGAAAAACTTTCTTTAGGTACTCTCAAACAAGTCTGAAAAAGTTTAAAAAAACTTGTTTAATTTATCAAAAAAAAGAAGAAAAAGAACTAAAAAAATATTACTTACGCTTACTATCAATATTGTATTAAGACTTAGAAACCATGATAAAAACTTTTTTCTTACTTACATGGCTGTAGTTACAAACTTATTTTGAATGAATTTTGAAAAAAAATACTTTGATATATTGAGCAGAATATCTTAATTCTATCATCAGAATAATAAAATATTTGGAATTAAATTTATGAAAAATGTCAAAAATGTAATTATTAAAGAATAAAATATTTTTAAATGCAAGCGTCTTTTAAATGGTTA